ATCCCTAACGTTCTGTGATTCTGTGTGACAGGCACAAAGAACTACCAACATCAGTACAAATTACCTAAAAGCAACACATTCAAATGCATAGAACAGAAGACGGCACTTTCCTGGAAAATGGGTTTATAACAAAGTTAATGATTACATTTTGAGCTATGGCTTGCTGTCTATTCAGAGTACTGCAAACTGCATATTTAAAATTCATAATATCAAGTACCAGAAGAAAATCTAGGTTCCTCTCCATTTGGCAAAGAGCTTTGTTTACAGTGTTTGAAATTCAAAACTGAAGTTAAAAATTCTAAGTCCAAGAATGATCAAGAAGTTGGCAGATATGTTTAGAGTTATCTGCCTTAGAGTATTAAAATGGGCTAAACAGTGCCACAGTATAAAATACATAGACAATAAGGATAAACTGGCCAATTTTTTATGCCTTTTAAACATAGCATGCAATGTTTTAATAAAATCAAGTGTGATTTTAAAAAAATCAAGATGCAATGTTTTTCGTAAACCACACAAACCAGATAAAACCAATAATAATTCAGTTGCTTAAGTAACCATAATTAGACCATGTAGTTCAAGAGAAGAAAAATTTCATTTAAAAAAGGGAAAAGGAAAACTAGTAGATGCAGAAAAAGAACACATTCACTGAGTGAAATGACCTTTATTTATGCCACCAATCGGATTTCCTATACAAACTCAACTATAATACTCAGTTTCAGAAGACTGTTCCTTCTTTAAATTCAAATCCTAGATGAACATTGATCATAGAAAGCATTAATCCCTATGAATCTATCAAGACCTTAAGATCATTACACCTTACTTTTATAATTCTAGAGAAGATCTAGAGAAAATGCTTTAACTATTCCTGTCAGATAACCATATTTTCTTAGATAATGCCATTATTATATTTACATATTAGCATTGCTAGAAATCCTCTTCCTGCAAGATTAGCACATTTTTATTTAATGATGCCATAATTTTATCTTTCTATGGAAACTAAAATATAATTTAACATATTGCTTTCTTCTGCTTTCTGTTTTGGATGGGAGAAAGGAGAGGGAACATAGTTCATCTCACCAAATGGTGCTGATGGCAACGGAAGCTTTTTTTTTTGTACCATTTGTGGAAGTATGTGCATGTGTATACAAGCACTTTAAAAAAAAAATACATAATTTCTTCCTTGTTCTTATGGTTTGGACAACGCCTGCTATTTTCTTCCACATATAAAAGCACTAACTGTAACATTTGTGTGGCATAATATTAGAAAAAAATATTATATATTTTCACCAAGACAGTAAATTCAAAAGCTGTACTGTAACAAAAAGAAGAAGAAATGTAAAAGACACAGTGTAATGGTACATGTGAGACAAAAGCCATTCTCAGCTTCATTTCAACTTTCTGTTCTTTTAAGTACCAAGTAGGGCATTTGCTGAAAAGCACATCGTTAATGTAAGGTGGAAACATCTCTCTTTGGATTTGTTAAACCACTTGTGTTTTGGACAGTTACTGTGCCTTGAGATTTATTTCCTCCGTTAACATTTTTACTTTTGTGGAAGGGAGGGTCTAATTCACAAGAATTTTTGAAACCTTCCGTACAGCTGGATTAACAGCTCAGAAGCTGACTGTCCTGCTGTTTTCTGGTGGGAATCAATGACTTGTGTCCTCACCAAGTCTTCCATTCCAGATGGTTGTCTCCTGTTGCATTTACACACGAGGAAGTCTTATGCAGATTTATTTCCTCTAAGGGTAGATCAAGCAAGCTGTTAAATACTACACAATCCCATGTTTATTCTTTTTCATTATACCCTTTGAACTTGCACATGGAAGGCTGGGCAAAACCAGCATTTGTACTTGTTTTGGGGCTAATTATCCTTTTCTGGAAACACTGTGAACATCACAGTGGGTAAGAATTTCTTATTACATGCTGGAATTTTTTTCACAAACAGGGGACAGCTGGAGAGTTTAGACCAACAGCTACAGAACAGTTTGCCTAAAAAGGTCCTGCAAAATGTTGCCTCACAGTGAAACACTTGATTAGACTTGCACTGGTATGGCAAATCTGTTCAATATTTAGCTGGGTAAAGGCATAGAACAGGAAGATAATGCAAAGATAGATACAAACAGCTGAGAGCAGCACACTGTCTGTTACCTGAACCAACAGGTAAAATGCCAGCACTAAGAGAAAGAGTACAATACAAGCTTGTGCAAAGATACTAATTCTGTATACTTCTCAAATAGTAATACTTATTTTTTTTTCTTAATTTTCACAAATCACAACTCTAACGGACAAATAGAAGTGCGAATCTAAGTATCACAAGGTTCTGGAAACATACTCTATTGGAATCCTAACAGGAAATGAGATTAAAGCACAGCATTTCCCATTAATCATAAAATTGTTCTACTTTTTCATTTGAGTTACAATTTAAAAAAATCAGAAGTCTATGGCATCCATAAAGAAAGTGAATATGCAAATACATGCATACATATATTTTCAGCCTCACTCAAAGACAGCCTTAACTTCTTTTCCTTTGCCTTGTTATCTTGTTTTGCAGAATTTAATCTTAAGGAAAGGGGAGAACTTCTTACATTTACCAAGTTTCTTAGAGATCAATACATCTGTTCTGGGAATACATGCTGACTTTATACTTTGTGTAAGTACTTTGTGTATGGTGTCCACAACAGAAGAAATGAAGAGGACATGAAAAGAGAAAGCTAAAAATTTATTTTCCCAGAGAAAACACACATTATACCTCATTTCACTGAGTTAGCCCATTTGCTCAAAATTAGGATTCTGTGCCTCCATCCCATAACATGCTACAAAGAGAAACACAGTTAAGTGAGGAAGAGAGATAACAAACGCTACCTGTGCCCTTCTCTCCAAAAAAGTATTTTAAAAAGAGCATTAGGTAGGTTTCAATGTTATTGTTAGGGGACAAAATTTCTGTCCTAGCCTAGATTTCAGATTTTGTCTGATTAATAGAGTTTTCCCTGTCCATTTGTTGAATTTCCACTCAAACGTCTATGCAAAGAGACAGAACTCTTTTACAAGAACATATCATGCAATTAATTTCATTAATTTATTTGGAGTGCAATTTCAACACTACTTTTTATTATAGTTGTTGAAAAACATTAATTCTGACACCTAAAACCGGCAGGTTTTTTCTGTTACAAGAATTCAGAATTCAGAGAGGCATAAGAAGTCATTCTCTGTGATTGGAGACAGAGTCAAACAAAACCAAAATAATTTTAGTTTCCAAAAAAGAATCTTCAGGAAGTCATGTGTCAATTAAAAACGGAAGAGTTGCACTGAAATTAGTCTTGCAGCCTAGTACACATTGAGCACTACAACAATCAAAATTAGGATTGAGAATGAATGAGTCCCACCTTTATATATTCATCCATGGGCCATCACATTTTGTTTTCTTCAATCCTTCTCTGTATTCCAGTTGCTGCCTTCTTGTCCCCACCCCTCTTCTTTTGCTGTCTTGATTTTCTGATACCAGTCTCCCCTGCAGTTCTTTGCCAGTGACTCATTAAGCCCAGGATTAATTCTCCTACTTTAACCCCATATGCCCACTTAAATCTCCCTTTCCTTTCTTTGTCTGTTTCCTCCTTGTTCTCTGCCACCAAATCCAGAAGACTGAAGTCCAATCAGCTGACACTCTCTGGCTGGGACCCAGCAGAGTAAAACAGAGACAGAATACACGGAGTCAGTGACACCATAAAGGCAGATTTAGTTCCTCACTGAATAATTACAATGGAGTATTATTCACTGGTGTGTCATTTTCAGTTCTTTTAAATGCAATTTATATTCTTCACTGTATATATACGTATCAAATTGGAGATACATGAAAGCACCTGCCTGAACATCAGAAATAGGCTACTCAGAAAGTATAGTACCTACATCAACAATCAGGAAGTCCAGCCAGCACCAAGCATTAGTGAAATAAGTTTTAAAACCATAGGCCACCCATTTTAGCACCATTTCCAGAATAAAGATGTAAGTGAAGATTTTATCTGCATAGTCCAGTATGGTTTTTATAGTCTTGCGCTGTTCAATATATATATCTTCAAAAGCCTGTGAAAAATGGGTTGCACATAAGTCACATATTCATTGCAAATTCTTTGCAAATTACAAATTAAGCCAAATGAACTGAATTAAAAATGGTAAAGTAAAATCACTTTCAACTTTAGATGCTTTACCTTGAAAAGCCAGCATGAGCAGAGATTACAATTGCACTCCCATCTGAGTTTCACATTTTATCATTGTCTCATGATGAAACTGCAATCTGACTGAAGTTGCCAAAAAGTTTTTTAGGAATTTCAATAGTCAACACAGAATTACAGTCTGACACCCTGAAAAGCCTAGTCAGGCTCATTCAGAAGGCAGTCTCCCAATTTCAATAGGTTCAAATAACAAAAGAGAATAATGAGCTACAGTGATCAAATACTATGCTGCTGCTGATCTTTGTTGAATTCCAATATTGAGTGATGGTGGTAAGGTTTTGGTAGTGGGAGGCCACTGTGAGAAGAGGCCAGGGGCTGTCATATGCCAGCTCCACAATGGACTCACCATAGGAAGCAGCTGAGCCCACCAGTGAATCTGGAGATGCCTCTAGGAAAACATATTTAAGAAAGGGCAAAACACTACATGGCAGTATGAGGACTGAAGAAAAAAGTGAGAGAAACTATCCTGTAAACACCAAGGTCAGGGAAGACAGAAGGGACATGGTGCTTCAGGTGCCAGAGGAGCGATAATGACAATATATACCAAACCCTATGTCAATCAACAACCAAAAAGAACACAACACTTAGTAGCTGTGTGAAGGACTAAATGTCGCTAGGAGTATAAAGGAATTCAAGGATTCCAATGTAACAGTCTTGAAATACTGAAACTAAAACAAAAGCAAAAATAATTAAAAGATAACATGATGAATTCAGTATCTGTACTGCTATTGGAGACAATTTTAATTTAAAGTAGAATAATTGTTCCAATCATTGTATACTATTAATTTTGTATGATTTTTTTATAATTTTGTAAACAAGATTTTTAGTGTAATCCTTTTTATAAGCAGTCATACACACACATATCACCTTGTATTAATCAAAAACTCATCTGCAGAATGTTATTTGACAGTAGAATTTTAATGACTTATTTTACATGCACTACCCAAAATATTATGGGAATTTAGTTCCAAGCTCTCTTTTAAGCCAACACAGATGTGTCATACTACTATCTTTGATAAAACATTTTTATAGGTACTGTTTCTGTGGGTACATACTCTACTTACCAGAGTACCACTGCTAAGAAGAATCATGAAGACAATGAATGTTTCAAACCAGTTGTGTTCTACTATCTTGTAGCAGGTTTTTCGAAGGTTCCACCAGATTCTTCCTTTTGTGCTTTCCATACTGCCTTCACAGCATTTAAACTTCCGTATACAGCCTAATAAAACAAACAATGACAAATTGCTATATGGTAGTTTTCATTATCCTAAAAAGCCAAAATCACTCTTATCTCGTTCTTGTTTCATGAGGTAGTCAGGACTTCAAGTTACTGCATGCTGCTAAAAGCATCCTTACTTTCCTGATTTGATACTCTGGATGTAGGGACACTTGCATGTATACAATTTTTTTACTACTCTGATACTACATCAAATAGAACAGAATAAAAAGGAGTCATCTAATTGAGCTAACTTTCATTTATGAACACATTGCTTAAAAATATGTTTAATTTACATACAGATCATCAGAGAACATATGAGAATTGTCAGGGAGTAGAAACAAAGAGCATAAACACAGAGCAACTTTCACATGAACAAGTTCAAGAGTACAGCAGCTGCTTTTGTAAGTACTTTTGTCTCTCAGCTAAGGTTCAAATAAATCACACAGATGTAAACAATCCTGTATTTTATTATAGTGAAGAATGACCTCTGCTTCAAAGGCTGACTAAGGATACCTCTTTCATGAAATAAATGACTGGAGATCAGGTAACTGGAGATTCTCAGAGCTTTTCCATGTGGTACAGATTTGTGGCAATCACATACAGAATTTTGCCCCACCTTGAGAAGCTCCCTACCTTATCGTGGGGCCTCACAGTACAGTTTTGAATGAACCCCAGTATCTGCCAAGCTAATAGTAGTCTCCTTCTTTAGAAATTATTAATCACATAGAAGCACAACCAAGTTTAAATTATTTAAATTGGTCCCAAAGGCAGTATCCTAGTTTTCCTGTGAGTGTCATTAGGTTTAAATGTTACAATTAGGTTATGCTACATTTCATCAGCTCAGATAAAACAGCTAACCCTGTGAAGAATATGATGTACCTTACCTTCAACTACTCAAAGTGCTTACATTATAGAAAAAGGATTCTTATGCTCAAGGATTGATAGACATCACATAATATAAAGATAAGGAAAAACTGTAATATAATCTGAAATAATTTGAGAAGTGTATTTTTTTTTAATCAAGAGCTTGATATATTCAATATAGCTCCACATTCCAAAGCAATTTTGGTTTTTAAAAGATGAATGAAATAACATTTCAAAGGACAAGAGTTCTAGTCTAAGTCAAAGTTGTCTTCATAACAGTAAATCAAAACTCATGGATAGGATAGGAGAGTTAATTCTGCAACATACTTTGTTCTGAATTATTTTAATCATTACTTAAAAGTAAAGTGAAATCTGTAATATCACAAAACTAGGAAATGCATTCCTATGCAGTAAATGTCAGTAGTCCCCTAAAGGATATAGCTATAGAGAACTAAAATAAATGGAAACTTCTAAGGACATGCAAGTATGCTGTTAAGACTTCTTTACTTCAATAAAAACACAGGATCTCATTCACCTGTTGCATGCCACATTTTATTTATGCACCTCCTCCCCTCATTAATGGTGTAATGTCAAGATAATAATTATAGTGTTTGAGTCAAACTTCCCAAGATCTGAGTCATTCAGTGGAATGCTTTCTAGCACTATGAAGGGACCATGGGTAATCACAGGATTCTGCTTTAAATTTCCTAGTAGAGTGAACCTGGTGTAGGGTTTGGGTCTTGCAGATTTCACTACTGAGAATGTCATTTAAATCAACAGGATTATTGATAGCTGAGAATCAGTGTATAGAATTGAGCCTAGTGTTTACTTTAAAATGTTATCAATTATCACATACACACATATGTAACTTCGCATCACACAAACAGCTTCATGGACTTCAAGACAACTGTCTGCAACAGGCAAAATTAACCATATAATAAGCCTTGACAAACTAGGATCCAAGACTGCTGGAGCAAATAGCTTACTTGAACTGCTAATGCTTGTTGCAAACAACCAAAATGTAATTGCTAACCACAAATTTTATTTCCATACCTTCTGTAACACATACCTTCTGTAAAGCATGCCTGTAGCTCTGATGCTTTTTCTGGTTCAGTTTCAGATTTATCTTCTCCACTGAGAGCTAAATTAACTGTACTTCCTTCAGATGAGCTGGAAAAATTTAGCTTCTGAAAATAAAATTCAGTAACAGTTATACTTTACTAATATTTACATTTTTAGAACTGTAATTAACTTTAAGCATGCAACACTGTGTAAGTAGTAAGAACAATATTTGCCACCAGAAATACACACAAACGTTCACATATAGCAGTCAATGCTGTTGAAATGTGCATAAATCATCCACTTACTACCTAGAGATTGCAAAGTGTATCATGCAATCTTTCATGGAATTTCAGAATTTCTGGACTAAATATAGTAGAGTCTTATCATTCATCAAAGTTTACTACTATCAAGTACATATTCTGATACATATTCTATTTAGTTTGTTTTCTACTATTATTTTCTTACTATAATTTCTCTTGCTACATTTTAAACCAGTATCAGTTATACTGTATGCTTTACGATGATCTATGTTGGTAGCTACTTTCATTACAGCAGTCTTGTCAACCTGAAGACAGTAAATCCTCAGAGCAAAGAAACTTTAAATTGTGAACTGTCAGACTAAACTGTCCAAGGAAGAAAACATAGCAGATTTTTATGGACTTATTTTAATTTAGTGCCAATTATTCATAACATAAAAATAAAGGAAATTAATTATCACTTCTTATTCACTGGCATCTTAAACATCAGTATGATGCAAGCTAACCACTTCTGGCATATATGATGATTTATAATAAAATTTGGTTACCTTTGACCACAGATAATTTAGTTGTTTTTAATTTTAAGATCATTCTTATGATCTAGATTGGAAACAGCTAAAGTAAAATTGGGATTAATATGAAACCTTGTTTCAGATGTGATTTGGTGATTAACCTCAACACATTCATAAAACAGATTAAGCCTGCCCTATCTTAACCCATAATTATCACTACCATATGAATACCTTCTTATGTTTTATAATACATTGGTAAGTTTCAAAGGGAAGAAGTATAAGTCATACATTTCAACAGGCATTAATTTGCATCTTTTTTTGACAATGCACGTATGTATTACATTGTGCATTCTGAAACTACGCAGTACTCTGGTACTCATACCTGTACAGTTAACACCCAGAAAGGGATCTTTTTTGTTTTGTTTTAATAATTAAAATTACATAAATCACATTAGTACAAAAAATTGTAAAAGAAAAAGCCTTGATTTATTTTTTATTTTGTAATCTGCATATGAATCGCAAAAATCCATAGTCTGATGATTTTAAAGGAAGATACAGTGTCCTGTACACTTAATGTGAGTATAAGTACCAGACTAAGTCAAAGTAGTTTTGGTCACAGCATTCTCTGACATTTTACAATGTTATTATCAAGAAGTATATAACATCAGTAATGAATTCACACAACTAAATGTCTGTAAGGAATGAGGTAAGCACACTTTGTAAAACAGCCTCAGTTTTGTAGAATTAACACAATTTTCATTAATGTAGCTAGACTTGCATTAAGAGACATTTAAGATATGAAAGCAGACAAGTTACAGGCACTATCCAATCAAGCTATATTTACACCTTAGTTGAAAATGTGAAAGGACAAAATTATTTTAGGTATTAAACAATTTTTTTTTGCTATGTTAGTCAAAGAAGAGAGAGACAACTTAATAAGAAAAAATAACTCAGTATACTGCATTAACTTTTATTAAAAACGATTCAGTAATATTACCTATTTTGCTGCTACTTTAAAAACTCATTATCTAGAACACTTTTAACTATCACAAATTCTACCGAACCTGAGGATAGCACCGTATAACTCCATCATTTTATTAATATGCTGCTTTCATCATTCCATGTCATGTGCATATATATTGCAAAATGTTGCAGCAGTGGTGGGTAAACTGAAATAATTAATTGAATTATAAATCAAAATACTAATTTAAAAAAATACATATATTTTTAAGAGTAAGAAAGTTTTGTGTCATATTGTTAATAAAAACTAGAAACAACATGAAGTATCCTGGGTCATTTGAACTGTAAGCTACTTAGTACACCATGTGATCAGATGACATGAATTCAACTGAAAGGTTACAGTTTTTTATGAATTAATAACATTAAAAAATGAACAATCATAAACAAAAAAGAAACTGAAAAGAATCAATGTGTTTAAAACATGAAGGTAGGAGAATCAGTGATTAGAGATTTTTTTTAATTTTTAGTTAAGAAAGACAATTTTCTTGACTCTAGAAATCAAATTAGAGGCTAAATTAACTATTTTGATGTAAAGGACAGATAGCCTGGTTCGTTCTTTCTTCTAAGAACAGTGTAGGATATAATCCACTGCTTGAAGAGTTACAGATTTAATTAAATGTTGGTTCTCTTTTTCACATAGGGTACTCATATTTTTCACTAAGGTATCAAACAACAAAAAAGCCTAGACAGTAAAAAACAATATGCATAAAAGGGTTTTGTGCTCTAATTAAAAATTCATTTGGTTTCTCTGCTATATACAAAGTTCACAGAGATCTAACTGATTTTGAGATTTACTCAAGGGAAACAACTATTAGGAAAGACAGAAATGTTAATCCTTCATCTCCCAGGGCACTGAGCTGCTGTTCAAGTTTACCAAACTAAGGTAAGAAAACCTCACTGTACAATACACTAAGCACTGGATTGAATGAGTCAGCTCATGTACTTGAAAGTTGATTAGCTGCCCTGATGTTTGCAAATCAGCAGCTAAACAATTTTTGTTAGAGAAAATTTCCTCAATATAATACCTATTTTTTTCACCATTGGCAGTGAAAAGCTATTCAGATTTTGAATAAATTAAGTTTTGCAATACAAACATCTACTGTACTCTTTTAAGGTCAAAATTTGGAGCTCATGGTCCTTCCCCCCCCCCCCAAGGGAGTCACAGTATGATGGCACAAATACTTGCAAGAATCATGTTACTACTAAAAATTGTCCCACTGAAGCCACTAATGATTGCTTGAGGTAATTAGTAAAGAGTCAATCTCTAGTAAGCATCATCTCAAAAATAATAAAGTGTACACAAAAGTGCAGATAATGACTGTTAAAAAAACTCCATATATAAGAGCTAATAATAAGTAGGCCACTGATTATTCACATGGTGCAACTGCCTGTGCATTCAACTTAAGTCATTCACATTTTGATATTCAAATAGTAAAGGAAAAATTCAATATGCTTCCCAACCTCCTAAGGAAGAACAAACATACCAGCAATATAGCTGTTAGTATGAGGAATAAAAGGGAAACATTGTCCTGTGTAATTGAAAAAAAGCCAAAACAAACCCTCAGGAAGACTGTGCTGCATAGTCTCATCTTCTCATTTGCTAATGATCTCTCTCTCTCTTTTTTATCTTTTTAATTTAAGTAGACTGAGACTCTTTCTGCTGAAGAAGGAAATAAAGAACTGCAGAAAAATATGAAAGACAATTGTTGATAACAGTGCTTAGAAGAGTAAATTCAGGAACCTCTTAGGAAAAAGGATGAAAAAATATTACTATGTAGAAATGAAACAGGAAACCTTAGCACACCTGTGCTACATTCCTTATATTCCATCAGTTGAATATTTTCCTGCTTAATCAGATCTCTTTACGGCAGGAAATACTTCTTCAGCAAAACCAATCTAATTTTTCCATTTAGTCTCAACTATTAATTAAACAACAAAAAGGACACATAACTCATTTTCTGTAATAATCACCTTTACTATATCGGCTTGATTTATCACTGAGTATGGTACTCTTCAGTGTAAGCACAGTTGATAAAGTCACTTTTATTTGGATGGGATACTACCGCATTCTACTGTCTTCTACTTAAATGTCTTTTCTAAATTGGTTTGTAAAAATCCTTAGAAAGATATTTTTCTATTCCATCTTTCTGAATAGCTTACAGGCCCTCTGGGCATAAAAGTGAGATCTGAAATAGATTCAGTATGTAATACAGTGCAAAAGAATACATGAAAGATAATGTGGGACTTCACAACAAGACTATGTGAACAAAATACATTCCAAATGTGTAATTGGAAAAGGAATACCTTAATGACCCTTAAATAGCAAGAAGCAGAACTGCCCAACTATTCAGAAGAGATCATCAGGAATAAGAAACACACAGCTTGATACGATTAAGGTTTGTTCTACAGTTCTGGAGTTCCTGAGTTTAGAGGTTTGGGATGGCACTAGTTCCTATTTTGTCTTTTTAACAGTTGTTTTAGCCTTAACGTGAATTTTCTTAATTTTTATATATTTATTTAGACACCTACATAGAATCCTATACAGAATTTTTGCTTGAAATTATGTTTTATGTCTGTCTTTCTAAAAACAAAGTAACTAAATTATGTCCACAAAGAAACCATTACTGATGATGAAGACCAAAACTGATATAAATTATTCCCTAACTTCCAATCTTAACAGACATACAGAAAGTTCATGAGTAGAATATAACTAAATTATTACATTCATATTCAAAAGGACTATGCACATGCATTAAAAAAGATATGTTTGATTGTTCCCAGGAGTGCATCTTTCATCCCCTATTTTAGCTTCTCTTATATGAGAAAACTGGAATGTAAATTATAAAAACATCGTGAACAAACATGAAACAAATTCTATCAAAAGATATAAACATTTTAGCATACAATTCTAATATTACAAAGGCATCGGTCAAATGAACATGATCAGAAAATGTCATAATCACATGACAGCTAGAAACATGGTTCAACAGATGCACAAAAAAAGTCAAATGAAGATTAGCTTTCCATTGTCATAAAATCATAAGCTGTTAACCTCATAAACTTGAACAGTCTCGATACTCAATAATTCAGTTAACAATAATAAAAACCTACAAAGCATGCAGGTTATGCCACGGAAGTAGTACAGAAAACACCAAAGATGTAACAAGGAGAGAAGAACACGTTACGGTTGCCCTCAACCATGCTGTGATGTGAGTCATGGGACTCAGCTTACAGAGTGGTTGTGCAAGCTTCCACCACATTGCAATGGATGGGGGAAAATATACTGTAGCTGAGTAGCATGCAGGCCAATCAATCTCAAAAGTGATCATATATGTATGATTTGTTTAGGTAACCTGTGTAAACATGCTGACACGTTGCTCTGCCTGGTTAAAAAGCACCAGATCTGCATTCTTGACTGATCCAGCTTGATTTTACTCCTGTGAGAAGAATGGTACGCAATGAAGTTAAGACACTACCCTTTACATTGTTTGAGTTCTGGAAATGGCAGAAGTATGGATTCCTAGTTATTTAAAAATGTGTTTTCTAGATATGCCACACATTTCCGAAACATAACATTTATAGCTGTTCGTTAGAGCTTTAAGTATATCCAAAGACATACTGAAAGAGGTAAAATTAGCAGAATATCTGAAGTTCACATATGTGTATTGGACTTGGGCCTGAACTTGGGGGGGGTAAAAAAAACAACACAAAAAAAACAACAGACCAAAAAAACCCCAAACAAATCCCATCCACTCCCACATTCCCCCTCAAAAAAACCTCTAACCAAAAAGACAGACAGAAACACCCACACTACGTATATTACAGCTTTAAGCATTCCGTAAATGGAAGTAATTAGACCTTTAAAATAAAATAAATATATTTTTCCTTTCATTTCATTTCACCTAAAAGCCCACAACCAATCAAATAAAAACAAACAAACAAAACCCCAAAAGAAAACAAAACAATCCAGAAAAAGCGATCCAGGCAGGAGTACGGCTGGCTGCACAAGCAGTGACACTCCATTAATGTCCTTGTGTCTTCAGGTGACAGGGAAGTTGATACCAGACACAGTCTGCACTGGAGATACAGCATAGCAATTTGAATTTTCAGCGTTTCTCAGGATCCTTCTGAAATCCATGATTTTGCTTCCCCTCTCAGTCTGCAGCTGCTGACAAATGACTACTTTCCTAAAGCTGATCCTGTTTAAGGTCAGGCAGTTGTCTTTGAAATGACTGGTTCAAAACTCCCACAAACAAGCAAGAAATTAATATTTTTTTCATTCAGTGATTCTGTTTTTTCTCTCATCATTTGATGAGACAATTTGGTGAGACTTGACATATTCACCTGATAATACTGACACTGTTCCCTTGGCTTTTCTGCATAATTTTAACTTCAGAACTCAAAAAAGTTGCCATTGCTCTCATTAGCTTGAGTTAGCACCTCTATTAGACTATCTAGCACAAATGGTGCTGACTTCTGGAGAATTCAGTATGCTTTAAAAATCAAATGCAAATGGTATTAATATTCTTTATTAATATCTTCCCTAATCTTTTAAAATAGCAGCTTACTTTCATCTTTACTTCATGTAAATACTATGATTATAAAAAAAACCCCTATGGTTCTTATCTCTGTTTATTCTGTACATATATACTAGGTTGTCTACCCAACTAAAAATTTGGAAAAGCTTGTTTTTCAAAAGTCTTTTATAAATGGGTTTATATATGTTTCTATAGTTCCTAGTCTCCTTAGATCCATTTTCCCACTTCATCTTATTCCCTTTCAGTACAGTCCAACAATCTCAAATCCCAATTGCTTTCTCTCTAAACAGGATGAGCCATACTGTAAAAGCATACAATTGGTATAATATAAAATACAAAATATTTAAATCTTACCTCCTTGCTTTCCTCCAAATCTGAGTCACTACTAAACTCTTCTGTATTTAAATGTTCAAAATCAGATTCTCCAACAGCTATTGGCACTGTAACAGTAAGGCTTGGGTTGTTTATGAATGATGTATAATCACTACCACCTATAACAGTGGCCATTCCATTCTCATTTTTGTGATAATTCGTATTTATCCTTATTTCAGCGATGGTACAGTTGGAAATACAATGGTCTCTCTCATCATTCAACTGATCTGTTGCTGTTCTTTGACTTACAACAGCTTGTTTTCCCCAACAAGACTTTTGGACACATTCACTTGCTTTTTTCTTCACATAATCTATTCCCTTCTGAATTCTTGCAACAGCAATCTGGAAGTTGTTCATTTCATTATCATCGTCCATAGGAGAAAGGTTGTCTGAACTAAATGAGCTCAGCAGCAAGGCCAGAAAAAGGTTCAGTACCTAAAACCAACCAAACAAACAAGCAAAAACCCCAACAAATAAAAAGACAATACAGCTGAATTTTCTCACTATATTTTTCATTCTCATGCTTCTTCTATCACCCACTATGAACAACTTAGGCTTCATGTTTTCCTTTGCTGTATCAAATTCTGGAAATTACACAGTAAATAAAATGTAAATCCAATTTAAGCACAACACCTGCCCTACACCTCAATGCAGAGGTTTTGTGGTTTTGCATTGCTGTATGACTATGAAGACACTTGTAAATTCTTTCTCTGTTTGAGTTTGTAGAAGGTCAGAAATGAATGATTCTTTGGAACTGACTGAACAGATCCAAAATGTTTACTTCTCTGGCATAGGGAAGCACTCTGCAACAGAAGAATTGCAACAGCTGATCTGTGCAGAAAACAGTTTTCTTACATGCTGGCCCAAACTCACAAAAATCTTTTGCTGTATGCAACTTAAAAAATGTGAAGCACACCTCCTCTCTTATTCCCAAGCCATCCTCTTCCCATGGCAAGACAAAGCATAGAATAGATACGAGTTATATATACCCAGAGTTTAACAGGAGTTTAAATGCTACTAGGATAGCCAAAGAAGCAGAGTACCAGCTCTTAAAGCCTTCAGAACAGCTCTTCTATGCAGCTTTGAAGACAACAGGGTAAAACTGTGTTGGGAACACACAAAGACAGCTAGATAACAGAGCCTTGAACATATAGCAGGGATTGTCTGCTCATGTAAGAAATTCTACTAGAGCTACGGTATAAAATCAGAATACAGTAAATACTATGGAAAGATTCAAAATACTTCAGGATACTTTGTACTACAGATTTCTACCTGATGGTATAGCAAACTGTTTAAGGAGTATGTTTTGTCTGGTCAATCAATTTCTCAGTTCCATTCATTATAAGACAATAGATTTGTAAAAAACCCTGGAGCATGTGACTATGCTACCAGTAGTAATGCATGACTGGTTTAAAGATAATTAGCTCTATTCCTGATGTTAGAAATTTTAGTCTTAAAGAATGCCTCCAAGATGGCTAATTTAAAATCTCTTTTGCTACTGACAGTTGCCTAAAGAAAGGACGTAGAATAATAGAGGAAGACTCAGTAGGCAATATAAAAGCGGAACAAAAGACAGAGCAATAAAGGCCTCATACTGGTGAGTTAATAAAAACTAAATGTATTTTAAAAGACAAAATTTATACACGATAATGTACAAACTGGTTCAGATTTGATGCTTTCCTCTGAAAGAGAAAAAGATATAAGACAGACTGCTTTAAAAGTGTCTGTAAAAAGCACTTACAGAAAGGAAAAAGGGGAAGAGGTGAAAAAACGTGAAGAATTTGAATGTTTTTTCTTCAGAACTGCTGCCTTCCAATTCAAGTTTCCTTACTGTATTTGTGTAAAAAGTTGGTTGTGCAACATGGCATGCTCAAAATTGCTTACATTTCAGAGTGTATTAAAGCAGTCTTTTAGACAGGAGAGAGCATAAAAAAACTAAAACAAACAAATAAAACCCCCAACTGGCTACGTGTAATTGGAAGTGATGCTTCAATCAGTTAGGGAGAAAAGACCCTGCTAAGTTCTCTTCTGCAAACAGCAAACTCTCATACTGGGAGAATATCATTTCAGGTGCCTTTACTATTCTCCTTCTCTCAAGGCAACCAGGAGTAGTCCACAAAAACCTGAACACACGATGCCTCTTTCTCTCATCCATACCCTCTGAACTGCACTCCAGACCCCCAAAGGGGCTGTCCTCCAAGCTCAGGATTGTATACAGGATCAGAAATCTAACAAACAGAAAACTCTATTTCAGAACCCATAGTCATAAGAAATTCAAAATTATAAAAAATGTATTTAAACAACAAATTTAATCATGCTTAAAGACTTATTTTCTGGTTCTGTTACCTTTTTTCTCTAAAAGAATTCTCAAATCAGTTTTGGCTACATACCACAAGGTTTCCAATCACCATGACCATCAGGAAGACCGTAAGGCACATGGGTTGGCCAGCAACCTCCATGCAGTCCCACATCGTTTCTATCCATTCTCCACACAGCACTCGGAATACAATCAGGAAAGAGTGGAAAAAGTCATGCATGTGCCAGCGTGGAAGCTCACAGTCACTGGAGATCTTGCAGACACATTCCTTGTAGCTTTTCCCAAACAGCTGCATCCCAACCACGGCGAAAATGAACACAATGATAGCCAGCACCAGGGTCAGATTCCCCAGAGCTCCCACAGAGTTACCAATAATTTTTATCAGCATATTTAGTGTTGGCCAAGATTTTGCCAGTTTGAAAACTCGAAGCTGAAAAACAGAAATGCAGAGAATTTATTTGCAGTAGTTACAAAAACACTACAGAAATAAATAACACATTATGAACTAGTGATTTTCAACAATAACAAAAGAAAGGAACTTCAACACGATTCCAACAACTATAACTTACCTAGAAACAGGATTTGCCTAGAATTGACACTTTTAATGCTTAACAAGTTTTAGACTTTGCTAATCTTATTTTTTGTGTAGCATATCTGTATTCCTTGTTACATGAAAGAAACAGCACACTGGTTGAATTTGTTTGGACAGTGAATTCTGAACATGACATACATCTCAACCATTATGTGCAGAAACTAGTTTTAAAAAGCCAATAGAGCTCAACAGGATTCTACTGACAGAAAATAAAGGATTCTTAAATCCTTGAAGGATGGGGTCTTCCAAAAGAATATTGCCTCCAACAAATTCTGAAAGGATCAGACAGACTCACAGTCTGGAAATAAAAGCCAAATACAAGGCCTAAGTCAAACATTTCAACTCATGAAAGGGAAAAAGATAATTCATGCTCTTTTTCACCCACAATCCACCCAAAATAAAAAGGTACTAAATATTTTTTGTTTTGAGATAAAAGTGAAATGGAAATGCAAATTGGTAAGAGACCACGCAGAAAGAATGGCTCATAGTTAATTTTCCATTCTGAAAATAGAACCATTTTTCTATTAAAATTAAGCATTTCTTTATTGCCAAGGGGGAAAAGAAAACTTTTTTAAACTAAAAACCCCATGAATTTTAAAAGAGCACTTCTAGTGCTTTTGCAATTTCCAGACATGGAAGTAGACAGAAGACAAAAAAACCTGTGCCTTACTCATTTGTCTTAAAACAATTGCAATAAAATTACAGCTCTATCCCTTGAAAAAGTTGTTGCTTCTGAACCATAAAATGGCACACACTATTCAGTGCTAAGTAATTTTGTAAAATGTGTTTGCTGAGATATCCTGTGACACTTAGAAAAATATATACATATTACTAACAACTGTCTTATTTACAGGAGTACGGTTTAAATATAAGTATAATGCATCAGCAGATATATTATTATCACTAATTTATTTACCAATCTGAATGATCGGAGCACAGATAATCCATCCACAGATGACAGGAAAAGCTCCACCAAACTCAGAGTAACTATAAAACTATCGAAAATATTCCAGCCAACTTGGAAATAATAAAAAGGATGCATAGCAATTATCTTGAGAACCATTTCTGCTGCAAAAATTCCAGTAAAAACCTGAGGAAGGAACATTTATTGTTACTTTATAGATGAGCATGAGTAAGTTGAAACCTGCAGACAAAAAATAACTTAAGAAGTAACAACCCTCTTACAGCAGGATGTCAGTAAGAAAAATTATCACAAGCTGAACCTCACAGAGTAGATAAGTGGCAACATCAAAATGAGCTGTAACATAACTCTGTTAACTTTAGTTAAACCTGAGATACATTTAGTAACTAGTGAAGAATAAACCATTCCTAACAGGCCGCCTGTTTGCTTCTCAGTTCTGCCGTCCATCTAATTAAAGGAAATTTCCTCAGCAAGATAGAAACAGTTGCTCTTGCCACAGTGGAAGCTGCTTTAACAGAAAAAAGTAACAGTGCAAAGCAATAATCCAAATTAACATTCAACTCTTCTTGTGTTGTCAAAGATACTTACAGTAGAAAGGATCTAATTTGGCTCCTACTTTTTTTGTAATACTGAACAAGTCAGATTTCTTTTTTGGTTTTGTGTCATTCAAACTCTGATGAAAACACTACTTGCAGAAATTTTAATGTAGAAATAAGACTCTTAAATACAACATATCTCAACTGGTATTTTTAGACTATTTTAATACAATAAAAACTTTAACATTAATTTTATGAGATAATAAAAACCGAGGCGAAGAGCTCCTGAGTGGAGG